TTTAAAATGTGTCTGATACGGAGAGGTTTCCACACTCTTAGAGGGAATGATTTGTTCCCCTCTCCAACCGATGTGAGATCTCACACAATGATCCCTTCGTTTTTTCCTTTTCTTGAGCCTTTGGGGTGGGGAGAGCGTACAGAATCCTATCAAACAAATAATCTTTTTCTCTGAAAGAAGGGACCCTTAGCAACTGTAATGAATGGTATGGTAATTTACATTTTTTTAATCTTAAACAGAAAACTAAATAAGAGGATTATCATCAAATACCTTATACTTGTCCAAGTTTTTCAGGTAAATTGTTAGAGCCCCATGCCCACCCATAGAGTGACCAAATATAGATGCCCGTGATGTATCAAGCTGTGGAAAGTTCTCACTCAGAAGTTTAGGTAGCTCCTTGACAACATAATCATACATACGCCAATTTTTCCATTTCTCTTGTGTAGCATTGAGATAAAATCCAGCACCTTTTTAAGAAACAATAAGACAAAAGGAAAACACGAAAGTAAATTCGCATCTTTGTATGACGAAATAATCATACATTTTTTTAGAAACTAAACGACCATATAGAACGAGATATAAAATACCAAAGGTAGGACTTTGGAATAATCATACATACACTTCAATCTATAAGAAAAGCCTCGTTAAATAAAGTTATGAAGTCGAAAAGTCAAATGAAAGCTAAACCAGCCATACACGACAAAATATTCATAAAGTTACTCTGTTTAACTGCAATGTGACAAGTTAGAAGTAACATACCAACACCAAAATCCCAACTGTCTGCCTCTCCTTCCACATTGAGGCCTCCTATTAAAAGAATGGGCAAAACAACATATGTATAAGATCCTGGTCACATTTCATCATAAGAGAGTACTCACTTCCATACTGAAAAACTGTTTCAAATAAGATCCGTTTCGTATCAACAAATCAAGCAAAGTAAAAATTAAACACATTTTCCAGGCCAATGAATCTTAGTTAAATGGGAAAAGAAAATGATTTTTGCAAAAAACTTCCTTCACTTTGTATTGCCAAGTTTTCAATATCATTCCTCATAAAAATACCTATTAAGAATAGCATTACATTGTGACATGACAAATTACTAAAACGAAGAGAAGGAAACGAACATTCCATCTTATAAACAGGCGGAGACACCCCATCCCCTTCAAATAAAAGATTTTGCTTCATCCCATAAACTCCGGCAGTTATTTTCAATGGAAGATTGTTTCATGGCCTTCCAACCAGTAGCTCATTGAAGCTATAACTACTTTACATTCACAATAGAAGCATTCAAACCATATAATCCTGCTGGATCAACTAGATATTGTCAAAAACACGTCTTAAAATGCAAAAATTGTCAATTTGTACTTAGCATAAAATTATTAGCAGAATCCAAGTGAGTTCAAAGTCGTTAAGAGCACAAGGATTCCCTTCTTTTCAATCAAAATCGTACCAAACAACATTATCAATACTTGAAAATGGGTTCAAAGTTTTTCTTACTTGGAGATGTATCAGGTGCAATTAAAGCAACACCTTCACTTGAAGCAGTGCGTTGAGCCCCTGCCTTAATTATAAAATTCTCATCCGTACAAGTAAGGCCAGACAGCCAATACAGTACCTGCTCAATAACAAAATCGAACCCCAACCTTCAATCATTGCAATTCCAATACATTTCCAAAGACAAAAGGAAAAACACACCAACAACAATCAAACACCCAAAATAATAACTATTCGACATCCATTCCACAAAATCCACATCCAACGGCAGTAAAATCAAATCACATAAACATATACGGACACGATAATCCAAAGATCAAACAGAAAACCGATTGCTCCAGAAATCGAAGATCAGAAACACTCAAAAATTGCTTTAACATTCGAGTTTCAATTAGTAATCGAAATGGATAACATCGAGATTGAATTGGAAACGGAAATGAGAGGAGATACCGGAAATTTATGGGACGGAAGCGGAGAAGGAGGGAAGTAGACGGAGAAGGTCATGGAGCAGCCAAGAGTTGGGCTGTAATGGCGGTATCTTCGATTATAGCCTCCGAACATCTTCGAGCTGCTGATCTCGGTTGGCTTGGCGTCCATTTTCAGAGTGCTTGATTTCTTGGCGATGGAATGAACAGAGATTGATGATAATGGAGAATCTTCGTTCGAGTGAGGTTTGTTTGGAGTGGGAAGAGCAATATAGTGACACTCGTTACGAGGATCACAACAATATACATCTCGATTGGGATAAGTTCAAGAAGGGTATTTTGGTCCAACAAAATTCATATCTATTGAAAAAGACCATCTTGCCCACCTCAACCTAGGACCCATACCCCAAAACTTTAGTTGGAGTTCATATCTCCACTCTCGACCCATATTCAGGTTTGAGCTCGAGTCGCATTTACTGAATTTGGGTTAAGTGGTAGCTAGGTCGTGACCTCAAGATTGGGCTGAGTACAGAGGAGTTGGGTGGTCAGGCTAGGCTGGATATTGGGTTGCAAATGGGTACTCGACCCAGATCCACAGATTGCTTCTTCTTCACTCGAATTTACGTGACAAACCTGATGACTGTTAAAGAAAGGTTCACCGCTAGCCGATATTATCTTTTTTGGGCTTTCCCTTTCGGGCTTCCCCTCAAGGCTTTAAAACGTATATGCTAGGGGAAGGTTTCCACACCCTTACAAATGGTATCAGAGCCAGACATCGGATGATGTGCCAGCCTTCTCGTTGTTCCTCGAAGGGGGGTAGACACGAGATGGTGTGCCAGTAAAGACGCTGGGCTTCGAAGGGGGGGTGGATTTGGTGGCGGTCCCACATCGATTGGAGAAAGGAACGAGTGCCAGCGAGGATGCTAGGCCCTCAAGAGGGGTGGATTGTGATGCCCCACATTGGTTGGAGAGGAGCAAAACATCATTTACAAAGGTGTGTAAAAGCTTCCCTTAGCAGACGTGTTTTAAAGCTTTGAGGGGAAGCCCGAAAGGGAAAGCCCAAAGAGGACAATATCTGCTAGCGGTGAATCTGGGGTGTTACATTCTCTCCTCATGAGCGTCTCCAACCGTGTTTTCTATCGCCATTTTCTCCAGATTTGCCCTCTTTCACATTGCACTAACATGTCCCAATCTTCCACTACACTATAGTAACTCATACGGGCCTACACAATGCAGTTTTTCAGTTATAATCATATGTGTTTACCAATGGGGAATGAAGACGTAAATGGGTGGATGCGTGTGAGTATTCTTACTGTGAGTATGCTCGGAGTCTCTGGTTGGTTACCACACACGGGTTTCGCTCGTTGTTACGTCATAAGTTGACTCTCCTTATCTTGTCTAAAAATTCAGTTTGTTGGTATTCTCTTTTCACAGTCGTTGATTTTCTCACACTCGTTTTGGCCTCTGTTACTCGCACCTTTTCTTTGCTCTGGTAGGTGCGCTTATGCATATTGATTGAAGGTACTTTGTCATATTGTGGGCGTCGGGCGAAGCATGTAGGTTGAGGGTGCAAGAATTCTCGCGCCTTTTCCGACGACAACCAACATGGAATGAAGTGAACCATTGAAAGAATGAATGAGTTGAACCAAACCAGAATGCGCTGAACTGACCGGTAAAATTGCGTGTTTGACTTGAGGCGACAATCTCCTCTTCTTCGACGAGATCTCGCGGTGTTTGCGACAAACTCAAAATGCTGATGTAGTTTCTACAAGGGGAATCTAGTCGTGGATTCTAGACGAGATGCAACAATAACGACTCAAGGCATGACGACAATACTCTTAGATTAAATGTCAAACACACGTTGGTGAGTGAGCATAAGGAAACATAACTCCAACGAGTCTGAGGGAGACTCGGGAAATAGAAGCTTATTGACGTAGAAGCTTCACAAGTGTCTAATCGTACATCGTTCAACAAGAATACTAGGTTTTTGTAAGAGTGGTCGTCTGCACGACGATAGTATGTGAAGAAGCGAAAAATCGTTAAAAAAAAATTGCACGAAGACCCTAACTTTGTTGTTAGGACACGTTCACTATGTGAATGTTATAGAATAACATGAGTCATTTTACACCGAAAAATAAATTAATTAACTTTCCTTTTAACATTTTCAACTTCCATTTTTTCTTATCATGTTTACTAAACATTCAAGTGGTGATATTAGAAATGTAATAGTCTAAGTCCACTGTTAATAGATATTGTCTTCTTTGAGCTTGCCCTCAAAGTTTTAAAACGTGTATGCTAGGGAGAGTTTTCCACACGCTTTTGAAGATTATTTTGTTCCCCTATCCAACCGATGTGGGATCTCACAATCCACCCCCTTCAAGGCCCAAACAACTTCGCTGGTACTCGTTCTTCTCTCCAATCGATGTGGGATCTCACAATCCACCGCTATCGAGACCTAGATCCTCGCTAGCACCCGAAAGAAAAAAAACGTAAAAAGAACAATATTTGCTAACAATGACCTTGCACCGTTACAAAAGAAAAAGTTGAAAATTACCTAAAATTAAGTTTTCACTAGAAACTTCTTCGTAAATCATTATATATACCATTCTATTTAATTCAATTCGACTATTTCTCTTATCTACCTGCTGCACACGATCAAATTAATCAACATTTATCACAAAAGTACGTCACGTCTTTTTAAGACTAGTTAGCTCGAGCTACGCTATTAACTTTTTTAAAACAATACCTCTTTTTGATGACAAGTTTAAATCAAGAACTTGATTTAAAATTACGAAAATGCCCTTGAACCTTAATCCATACAGGGTATCCATAATTATTACAACCATAAGCATATGGGCATTTGCTTGTTGGGGAGTTGGCCCCTCTTCAGTAAATAAATCCACCGGTGAACTCTCATCTCTCCTCTTTTAATGCTCTCTTTTGTGTACACACCGCGGCTTACCGCCATCAATGCCTCTCTCTCCTTCGCCTTCTCCTTCTCCTTCTTCTTCTTCTTCTTCTTCTTCTTCTTCTTCTTCTTCTTCTCTTTGTGCTATAAACCCATTTTTCACGGCTTCAATCGCCACCATTTTTCTCCTCAAATGGAGTTCTTCTCATGAACTTCCCCTTTCGAGCTTGTTTTTCAGCGTTGTCTGTGTCCGATGGGTCTGTGAGAGTTCGTGCTGTTCTACGTACTGTGGCTCTGGATCTTCGAATGTGCGAGGTTGGTCTTGCTGTTTTGAAACGATTTGCTTCGATTTCGAATTTAAACCCTACCACCTAACTTTGTAGTTTCCGCCGTGTTGAAGATCATACCGATTTAATTGACTTTTTCCCCCCATTTCACACTTACTGGCCTTCATTTGAATATATATGATCGTTTGTTGTCTGTTTTCGTGTTTTTTAATTGCGTTTTGTTGTTGGGTGTGGGTAGATGAACGAACTCCCTCGGGAAGATCAATGCTGCATTTGAATATTTCGATTCTTTTGAAGTTGGATGAAGTGTTTAGCTATAACTCTAGACCCCTATGATTTGATCTAGACATTAGTTCCAACTACTTGATCTGTATTGCTGATATAAGCTTCTTGAAGGATTGTGTATTCAGATTATTTGTTTCTTTTGTTATCTGGGGCTGGTTTTTGTTCATTGATAGACAATGAATCTCTCACATTCAAATGGTTCAACGCATAACTTCAATGGATTTGAAGAGAAGCTTGATGAACTTAGAAGGGTTCTAGGAAAGTCCGATGGTGATCCACTAAGGATCGTTGGTGTGGGAGCTGGAGCTTGGGGGAGTGTTTTTGCAGCTCTTCTTCAAGATAGCTATGGTCAATTTCGTGAGAAGGTTCAAATCCGAATATGGAGAAGAGCAGGAAGGATTCTGGATAAAGCCACAGCTGAACACCTCTTTGAAGTGATCAATTCAAGGGAAGATGTGCTAAGGAGGCTTATTCGACGATGTGCTTATCTAAAGTACGTCGAAGCGAGGCTCGGTGATCGAGTTCTCTACGCCGATGAGATTTTGAAAGATGGGTTTTGCTTGAACATGATTGACACACCACTTTGTCCTTTGAAAGTAGTGACTAACTTGCAGGAGGCTGTTTGGGATGCTGACATTGTTGTTAATGGCTTACCTTCCACTGAAACCAGAGAGGTTTTTGAAGAGATAAGTAAATATTGGAAAGAACGAATCACAGTGCCTATTATCATCTCTTTAGCAAAGGGTATAGAAGCTGCTCTTCAGCCTGTTCCTCACATAATAACTCCTACTCTGATGATCAACCGTGCAAGTAAGATATTCTTACCAAATTTGGCATTTAATCTGTTCTATTTGCATTGTGTTCTTCATTTATAAACAGATAAGAACATTTCGAGCTGAAAACGAGTTATTGTCTGTCTGGATTTTAGTTCTTAGAACTGTAAAGAACATTATCAAATAAAGATTGAGGAAGTTTAGACTAATAAGTATGGAGAACATATCGGTTGGAGAGGGGAACAAATCATTCCACATAAGGTTGTGGAAACCTCTCCCTCAGACGCGTTTTAAAATCGTGAGGCTGATGGTGATACGTAACGGGTCAAAGCGGACAATATCTGCTAGCGGTGGGCTTAGGCTATTACAAATGGTATCAGAGCCAGACACTGGGCGGTGTGCTAGAGAGGACGTTGGGCCCCCAAAAGGGGGTGGATTGTGAGATCCCACGTCGGTTGGAGAGGAGAACAAAGCATTCCTCAAAAGGATGTGGAAATCTCTTTCTTGTAGACACGTTTTAAAACCGTGAGGCTAACATCGGTTTGTGTTTGTGAAATTGTTTTTCTCAGCTAGAGTGCCTATAGAGAACATATTGTATCTTGGGGGACCGAACATCGCCTCGGAGATTTATAACAAAGAATACGCGAATGCTCGGATTTGTGGAGCTGAGAAGTGGAGGAAGCCTCTTGCAAATTTTTTGAGACAACCTCAGTTTATTGTTTGGGATAATAGTGACCTTGTGACACATGAAGTCATGGGTGGCTTGAAGAACGTCTACGCCATTGGAGCTGGTAAGTGGTAGATACTTTCTGGTTAATTTATCTTAATGATGATGGAAACAGTCTTTGATATATCACTTTGTTGTAGCAATTGCTTTTGTTCTTGTTCACGTCCATTTTAGTTCATTGCAATGTGGAGTTAATCACTGTTTTTGGTAGCACTAGCGCTCTGGTGTTGGTGTAGTAGCTGTTTGACTGAAAATTGCAACCTTTGCAATTGTGAATAGTTAGATTGTGAGATCCCACGTCGGTTGGAGAGAGGAACAAAGCATTCCTCGTAAGGGTGTGGAAACTTCTCCCTCGGAGACATGTTTTAAAACTGTGAGGCTGATGGTGATACGTAACGGGTTAAAGAGGATGATATCTGCTAGTGGTGGGGTTCGGCTGTTACAAATGGTATCATCAGAGCCAGACACCGGGCGGTGTGCCAGTGAGGACGCTGAGCCCCCCAAAGGGGTGGATTGTGAAATCCCACATCGGTTGGAGAGGGGAACAAAACATTCTTCATAAGGGTGTGGAGACCTCTCCCTCGTGGACGTGTTTTAAAATCATGATTAGGCGATACGTAACGGGTCAAAGCGAACAATATCTGGTAGGAGTGGGCTTAGGCTGTTATAAATGGTATCAGAGTCAGATACTTTGCGGTGTGCTAGTGAGGACACTGGGCCCTCAAAGGGGTGGATTGTGAGATCCCAGACTGGAGAGGGGAACAAAGCATTCTTCATAAGGGTGTAGAAACCTCTCCCTCGTAGACGTGTTTTAAAATCGTGATTACAGCGATACGTAACAGGTCAAAGCAGACAATATCTGCTAGCAGTGGACTTAGGCTGTTACAAATGTTATCAGAGCCAAACACTAGGCGGTGACTAGTGAGGATGTTGGGCCCCAAGGGAGGTGCATTGTGAGATCCTAAATCGGTTGGAGAGGTGAACAAAACATTCCTCATAAGGTTGTGAAAACCTCTCGCTCGTAGTCGCATTTTAAAACTGTGAGACTGACGACGATACGTAACTGATCAAAGCAGACAATATCTGCTAGCGGTGGGCTTAAACTGTTACATAGATCTTTTTCATTTCTATCATTATCATCGTACATTCACGACATTCTCTCTCTTTCTCGAAAATGTGATTGTCTTAGTGATCCAGATTTTGCATTGGACAATTTTGGGACTGTTGCTTGAAGTTTTCTACCATGTTCATTGCTTTCCATTTTGAACTTTCAGGAATGGTGGCAGCCCTTACCAATGAAAGTGCTACCAGTAAATCAGTATATTTTGCACATTGCACCTCAGAGATGATCTTCATTACTTACTTGCTAGCAGAAGAACCCGAGAAGCTAGCGGGGCCTTTGCTCGCTGACACTTACGTGACCTTGTTGAAAGGTCGTAACGCTTGGTACGGGCAAATGTTGGCCAAGGGCGAACTTAGTCTAGATATGGGGGATAGCATTAGTGGCAAAGGGATGATTCAGGTAAAGAAACTGCAGTTCTTTCTTGCTCCATTATGAGTTCATGTTAGAATCACCTGTATTTTCTTGTTTAAAAGCTTTACCGACTGTTTTCGAAGCACTGATTCGGAAAGAAATTCTCCTATTTCAGTACTGATATTGGGCGTGCACACACAAACTCACTAAAATGTATACGTATCTATGCTATGCACGCACATGACATATTTATCTACGTGACACACGAACTCACTAAAATACATATCTACGTACACACACGTGGTGAACTCACTGAAATGCATATGTATCTATGTTCACACGCTCTCTAAAATACATACGTACGTATCTAGGTTCAAGCACGAATTCTCTAAAATACACATGTATCTATGTACATACACGTGAACTCACTGAAATGCACACATATCTATGTTCACACACGAACTCACTAAAATACATATGTAGATACATACACATGTGAACTCACTGAAATGCATACGTATCTATGTTCACACACAAACTCAAATACATGCATACCTATTTACACATACGAACTCACAAAAATACATACGTATTTACGTGCACATACGAACTCCCTAAAATACATATGTATCTACGAATATACGCACAATATATAGTGCTAAACAATCCTTTTCTGTTTTGTAGGGAGTCTCTGCTGTTGGTGCTTTCTATGAAATTCTGAGTCAGTCAAGCCTAAACGTGTTGCATCCTGAAGACAACAAGCCTGTTGCTCCTGTGCAGCTTTGTCCCATCTTAAAGACACTCTATAAAATACTTATTAAAAGGTAATTGCCTCAACTTACCATTCTAAAATTTGCATCAAATAAGTGGCCTGCAGAAATTGATATGACATTTACTTCGAACTGAATCGAACCTAATCTAAGCTTAAACTCGAAGTTTTTCAATCACGATTTCTGTTTTCTCGTGTTTCGGGTCATTAGGGATGGATCACCTCAAGCTATACTAGAAGCCTTGCGAGACGAGACCTTGAATGATCCTCGAGACCGGATCGAGTTGGCACAAAGCCATGCTTTCTACAGGCCTTCACTTCTTGGTCAACCTTGAACTGTAGATTCCATGGCAAAACTTAAAACTAGTCTGAAAGAGTGAGCCCTGCATAAATGAGCTATGAACTAGTCTATAGGTTTCTTTCTTGGTCCTATAGACAATTATATGTCACATGGAGAAAGTTATATGATAATGCTGAATTTCAAATTATTTCTTGGCACTTTGCTTTTGAAAGGGAATCAATATCAAAATTCTCTCATCTTTGATACAGTGAATCTTTTATGAATTCGAATCTTATTTCGGTTTTCGAACTTTTAATACTCTGTTTCATTTTGGTTTAGTTATATTCCTATATATGAATCGTTTTGTAAAAATTCTGGGTAGCTTTCTGAATGGTCTTGGATATCCTCCATGTAGCAAGTGCTTGAAACATGTATAATGGTTTTGAAATGGGATCCAAACTTCTAATATAGATAAGAAACTTCGAAAACTATGTTTGTTTTCTCACACCTTTCTCATTTCAATTCTTTCTTCTTAACTTGGAACACAAAAAAAAAAAAAAAAAGCTATTCAACTTGGTAAGCTAAAACTCAAAGTTATGACCTCTCAAAGTTTAAACTTATTTAAGATATCACCAAGGCCATTAAAAGACGAACTCCTGTACAATTTTGGTAAGTTTATAAGCATGGTTATAAAAACATGAAGAAAAACATATAAAAACGAGTCATCATTCGGCTAAAACAAATGTGTATCAAGAAAGATGCATAGAACGCTAGGCAAATGCGAGTATATGCACTTTTTCATCAATTCTTTTTCTTTTATCACCATAAGAGCATAAACTTCTTTTGAAACAAAAACAACCCATTATAAGGCTACAAAATTCAATAAACCTGCATTATGAGCTACATAAGATTGTTGTCATAGCTCAATGAGTTCCAATAATCATTTGAGACATCGAAATAGAACCCTTGGCTCATACTAAACGAGTACCACATGTTTGTTTTGTTGACAAACAAATCTGGCAAGAATGTTCCAAGTGCAAGAAACAGGATTCACTTGCAGAAACACAAAATGCAAGCAGAATGAAAGAAATATCTCATTTAGCAATCAATCTAAATGATCAAATCCAGCACTTATAATCAGGCATTCTCTTCCCATATGAAAATCAGGTATCCATGCTACTGTGTGAAGTTGTTAAAGTTCGTTTTGTTGTCTTTTTGCGATCAAAGATTCGACATTTTGCAACCAATTCAAATACTGACCTTGCTCCTTTTTATGCAGGTGAATGAGAAGGAAGTCGGTCAGACTTTCTTCAACACCTCTACTGATTAGGAATCCCTTGAGCGCCTTTTGTAACTCGGGATCTAACGAGCTGCAATGGATACAGAAGTTTTAAGTATCTGAGAGAAGAAAGCTAGAGAAAACAGGTAAAGCTTATGCATTAGATGAATGACAAAGCCTAGCTGAAAGATTGGAGAATGACTGACTAAATATCATGAGTCAAATATCATGAATCATGATGCTCAGCAAAGTAGAAATCAAAATAAGCCATTCACAAACAACTTTCTCCAAATTGGTGTCGATTATGCAAGAAAGAAAACGAATGACAAAGCTACTTGTTTATGCAATGCACATATGCTCAGAATTTTTAAACAACGATTCTCAATATATTCGGATGCCATCTCACATTTCTTAGGGAGGTAAAGGATTTTTTGGATATGGCCTTAACGTACCACCCTTTCAAGAATGCAAAATCCCTATTATGGAAAAACTTCATCATGATTTTCTTTTGTAATACGTGGAAAGAAAGAAATCAGAGAATATTTGCAGAAAAGACACCTACCTACACAAAACTTTTCGACAATGTTGTTTACCAAGCTATATCTTGGTGTAAACTGTCTAATATTTTTACTTCCGATAGTTATACGTCCCTCATTGTAAATTGGGAAGGTCTTTTGTAAACTTCATAGAATATACATCCCTTTTGTAAACTTCAATCATCAATAATTTTTCTAGGTAAGATATATCTTTCTAACCAAGCAAGGATTACACAAGAAGAAGAGGATGTGAAGATAATATAACCTCCAACGGCTATGGGGAATTACAGAGAGGCTCTTGAAGACAATGAGACAAAACAAACAAGTTCTAGTAAATTGTAAAAATTAGGAACTTGAACTTCAAAAGTGATAAGGAGACCATTAACCAAGATATATTATTTTGGAGAGCTCTAGTAAATCGTAAAATTTTTTGCTCCTAGAGAGACTATTAACCAACATGAAGGAATAGCTTGCAACTTGAACTTCAAAAGCGATAACTAACTCCTCAAAGGAAAATTAAAATGATAACAGGTACAGGTTAGGAATCATGAACCTCCACAATGGTATGATATTGTCCACTTTGAGCATAAGCTCTCATGGCTTTGCTTTTAGTTTCCCAAAAAGGCCTCATACCAATAGAGAGGTATTCCTTATAAGCCCATGATCAACCCCTTCATTAGCCGATGTGGGACTTCTCTCCCAACAATCCTCCCCTTGAACAAAGTACACCATAGAGCCTCTCCTGAGGCTAATGGAACCCTCGAACAACCTCTCCTTAATCGAGGCTCGACTCCTTCTTTGGAGCCCTTGAACAAAGTATACCCTTTGTTCGACACTTTAGTCACTTCTGACTACACCTATTCGACGTTTGAGGATTTTATAGACATGGCTAAGTTAAGGGCACAACTCTGGTACCATGGACCTCCACAATAGTATAATATCATCCACTTTGAGCATAAGCTCTCATGGTTTTGCTTTTGGTTTCCCCCAAAAGGCCTCATACCAATAGAGATGTATTCCTTACTTATAAACCCATGATCAACCTCTTAATTAGCCAATGTGGAACTTCTCTCCAAACAATCCTCAATAGTACACAGATTAATTTACTTTGGCGGTAAGGTTCCATAAATTGTGCAGTGGACTCAACCTAGTGCCTTCTACAATGAAGGTGGCGCAAAGGTTCGACGAGTGTATGATGAAAAGGATCCCAAATTACAAGAATTCAATAAAAACAACCAGCCCCAAGATACAGCCGACAAATTTCACCCGACAGAGCTCTCAAAAGAAAAATGTTGAAGGAATTAAGCGAAAACCCATCCCTATTCATCTTCTCATGTCATAACACTCGTTTCAACAGATGAAAATTCTATATCCAAGTCACAGTCCCAATTTGAAATCAGTAAACATAGAGAACTCATGAATTTCTAGCTTCTAAAACAAGGCAATCAAAACACAAATGGTTACTAGAGTTGCCAAAAAGTAGTACCTGAACAAAGGGCCTCTGTAAACAGAAGGGCTCAAACAAGCAGATGATTGAAGATAATAGGCATTGTAGATTTTGAAAGGTGATCCACCATGACCATCCTCTGAAACCCCACAATCGAACTGCAAGAGGGAGCTAACTCCAGGCTTACTCACACAAATCTTCATCAAAATCTCCCTCGAAAAAGCCCCTTCTCGTCCAAACATGAGAGGACCCGATAGGGCAGAAATTGCGATCTCCTCACCCGATTCCAATTTTCGCCGCAACACCACGTCTCGGGATTTGAGCGAATCATGTTCCACAGCGAAATCGCTGGAACTGCCCTTTTGTTCATGGTTCTGCGATTAAATTCAGATCAGAAAGCAGTGATGATTTGTTTGTTTATTCAAGAGATTGAAAAGAAGCGAGGAAATTAAAAAGGACCTGAAATGGAGTGGAAGAAAGCTCGTGGTTTATCTCCGATTGCAAAATCTTGAGGAGGTCGAGATCATGAAGGGCTTTACGAGCCTTGCGGAATATTTGATTAGCCCTCGGCATTCCTCTACTATCCCTTCAACCAGCGGCGTCCTCTCACTCTCTCCAACATGCCTCAATCTCGGCCGCCACTCGCTTTTGCTATATTTCTTCATTTTCCCCTTAATTTTTTAAACATACAAAAATTAATCAATTAAAATTTTTAATTAACCAATTTTCATTCCCTCTATTCTAGGTCTTGGTTTAGAGTTCATGAATACAACGATTACAAACAAGTCAATGTTTCACGAATTATTTGTAATTACAGTTCTTCAAATGTAAGAGCTCAAGCCCACTGCTAACAGATATTGTCCATTTTGGCCTGTTATGTATCATTGTCAGCCTCACGATTTTAAAACGCGTGTGCTAGGTGTTACGGTCATGCTCGTCCAAGGCCTATTGCCTATGGCCGCATGCCCATGACAAGCCCAACCCTTTATGTCTTTACATATTCTAGTGTTCTACTTTTGTATTTCTAGGAAGTATGACGTTTCAAAAATATCATGTCTAGGCCTTTCAGACATGAAATGTCTCAGAATGTACTATAGGGGGATACGACTAGTTGTCAACTTCTCCCTACCTAAGGTTATATACTGTGAGCCGTTGTTATTTCTCTCTTGCTTGCTTATATAACATTTCTTTCAAAAATCTCTCTTTCGAAAATCTCTCTCTGCCCTCGTTTTCTAAAACCTTCTCTTAAAACCGAGGCCAGGGCCTCGAGCATACGTCGCTTGCCCGTAGGCGACGCAAGAACAAATTGGCTTAGTTCACTTGTCGTTAGAAAGTGAGTGCCGCACAATCGCAAGTCTGCTGCCATCAAAAGTGCGATTGTGACAAGTGGCATCAGAGCTTTGTTAGCTCCGTGACATAGCAAAGACCGAAAACATGTCGATGACAAAGTCGACACCCAAATCACAAGCCAATCGACTTAGGAGGAAATATTGTTCCTCAAAGAAGTCCCTGACACCATGCACTTCTTGGAAGCATGGGTGAAAGAATTGAATGGAAAAGTCGTAGAAATTGACGCAATGGGCAACTGCCTGGATGGGTTGCCAATCGCAGAACTGATGTTTCGAGTGACCTCGCTCGAAGAAAGAGTTTCTCCTACGAGCAGCCCAAGACCGTCTGGTAGCCCAGATAGCTTTGTCACACACAAGGAGGGACGTGGCGAAGAGTTCGATGTGTTACAAAATACAATGATGAGTTTGTTCAATGGATTAGCTGACGAATTCAGAACAACGATCGATGACATCCAAGAAAAGATGTCCGTCATGAGCACCCGAATTGAGGTGACCATGAAAGCCGTGGAGAACATCACGACTGGGCAAACTAATACAGGATCCAACAAACTGAAGTTCCTAGACCCTAGACCTTTCAAAGGGAACCGGGACACCAAAGAGTTGGAGAACTTCATCTTTGATGTCGAACAGAACTTCAAAGCCACAATGGCTTGTA